TAAAAACATCATTGGAGACTCACTGGAATGTCTAGAATATTGTCCGGAAAAAAAGAATAAATGGAGAAATTAGAGGGAAAAAACATAACAAAATGTGCTAAATATTGATAAACTAAAAGAAAAAAAAATGTAATGACAAAAAATAACAATAATGGGAAAAACATATGTTATTTTTCAATTTATGTAGGGTTTAAGCAAATAATCTCCAATATTAATCAAATTGAAAAGCAAGTTTTGAAATTGTAAAATGTTATAGTTTCAGAGTAAAAATCTATTAAGTATTTATCCTTATTAATCAAACTGAAAAACATGTTACGAAACTGCAAAATTTTACAGTTCTAAAGAATGTTATGAAACTACAAAAGTTTACAGTTCTAAAGAATGTTATCAAACTGTAAAATTTTGCAGTTTGAAACCATGATTCATTCCAGCACAAAAAAAAATTGCAACTGTAAAATTTTACAATTTTCACCGCCTGTAACTAATACTCGAAAACAACTTATTCAGAATTTGAAAATTTTCTCCATTAAAACAGAAAAATAGACTTGTATAGCAGAGAAAAGGTAGAAAATTTGAGAAATTGAAGGAAAGAATAGATTTAGAGATAATATTGTACTCCGGTAACTTTTTTTGGTTTAGATTTAGTCGGATCTCATGTAGACCTACTCATCAGATTTGAGTAGATCTAGTCATCTTCTTCACCGTTGGTGAGGATGAAGCCACGAGTTGATGTCGATGGTTGGTGGTTGCCAATGAACCCCAATCAATGGTGGTCGTCGGTCACTGTGACTATATATTAGAAAGAATAAGAAATGTGTGATCACCAATCGTCGTCCATGACAAAGAAAATGAGAGGAAAACGCAGGGGGGAAAAAAAGAGAGGAAAACTTAAAGAATGAGGCAAAAAGCAGAAAGAGAGAGGAAAAATAATACTTTTGAATCTACTCAAAAAATTATTAGATCAAATAATATACACATATTTCAAACAGGAGCTATGGGTAATTTGCCCCTAATATAAGTCGCCCTTCAAAATATAAATAGATGTCATAGTTATTGATTTGGGGGAGCTTCTATTTACACACACCAAATCCCTCTTTGCACATCCTTCTCACTACACACACCAAAAAAATTAATTCCTAATTATTTTACTCACTACACACACATTTCATTCCACATCTACACACATACACACACACACCCCAGACCCTCAAACCCAGCTCTTCCAACGGTCCACACCCATTGAGGCTGCATCTCTCACATTGCTCTATCAACGGTGCAAATACACCCATTGAAGCTGCGCTACATCTCTTACATTACCCTTTTTCACACATTACCCATCTCTCCCCGTAGCTCCCTGCTTCACACAGCTTTCATCCCTAAAGCTGTATCCATCAAGAAGTGCCGGTTTTCCAGCACATTTTCATCCCCAAAGAAGCATTAAATTCCAACACATTTTCAATCCTCATTCGTAGTTAGGTTAGTTTACTTTTCAATCCTCATTCCTATTTGAATTTGTAATGTAGAGTTTTGTATTAAACCATTTTCAAAACGAACAAGTTGTTCGGAACTGGTTTTTCGAAAGTAAACAATTTGTTCGGACGTAGAAATCCGAAAATAATCATTAATTTCAACAGTAGATTTCCAAAAAATTTTCATTGTTTCGACAATCACCTTCCGAAAATTTTGAATTTGGACAACACTCAACTTCCGAAATTAAGTTTGTGTTTCGGTTTTCAACTTCTGAATAGAATATGTAGTTTCGGTTTTGAACTTCTGAATAGTTTTTTTTTCTTTCTTTTTTTCTTTTTTTTCTTTCCCCCCTTCTTTTGTATATTCTTGTTTCAAGAGAGCTTCTATTTCCACATCCTCATTCCCCATTCCCCTCTTTACACACACTTAATAAAAATTATTTTTATTATAATTTTATTTTCAAGTGAAATTACTATTATAGACATTAAATAAACATATTCGGAAGTTGAATGTCGAAAAAATGAAAAAAAATTGAAACTCTACTACCGAACAAGGTGTTTATTTTCGAAATGCTACTTCTGAACCAATTGTTTATTTTCAAAACTCTACTTCCGAACTAATTATTTATTGAAAAAAATGTATAAAGCTTTACACACACTTAATAAAAATTATTTTTATTATAATTTTATTTTCAAGTGAAATTACTATTATATACATTAAATAAACACATTCGGAAGTTGAATGTCGAAAAAATAAAAAAAATTTCGGAACTTTACTTCCGAACAAGTTGTTTATTTTCGGAATGCTACTTCCGAACCAATTGTTTATTTTCAGAATTCTACTTCCGAACCAATTATTTATTGAAAAAGATGTGTAAAGAGGGGAATGGGTGTGTGCAAATAGAAGCTTCGTTGTTTCAATTGTATAGTCATTAAACATATTATTTTTTGCAGATAATATGGATTCTGAATGTCAACAACGTGTCCCACCTACTGCTTCAAATAGACGACATCGTGAATTGGATGTTGACCATGAATGGAGACGAGGGCGTAGGCGAGGACGAGGTCAAGGTCGTGGTCGAGGTCGTGATCTAGTTTCGGTAGAATATGATATCCCCAGTGCCAGTCAAAGTCGAAGCCAAAGCCAAAGACGAGTTCAAGGTGATGATATGCCTGACATTGCTGTGAAGGATGCCTCTTTACCCGATTCTCCTACTGTCTAGGAAGAGGACCTTACTCATGCTTTTCCAGGTGGACCGACTGATCCATCAATACTGAGGAGTTTCAATAGTCATGTCGCTGCAGTTGTTTGGCACGTGGAGGTAAACATTCCTGAGTAGAAGAAAATTCATTTGTATATGAATTATTTTTTTTCTGTGTGCTATATGGTAGTTTTTAATGAGATATTATTTGTGTTATTGGAACAAGGGCCCCTAAAGTGTCATAATCACTCTTCGAAGATCCTTGCATGGCCATGGTGGTCAGTAGACACAACACTAGATTCAAAGCCATTATTGAGTAGTCTGGGCTGTCACAGTTAGCTCGTTGTACTTATTGGTTCGTCAATAAGCTTCTAATCTCCAGTTTTGTTAAGAGATGGCAACTTGAGACAAACACATTTCACATGACAGTTGGTGAGATGACCTTGACCCTGGATGATGTTGGCACTATTCTTGGCCTTCCCATTGTAGGCAAATCAGTCAGCGTATCAGATGTGACAAATCATCATGGAGTTACACTACTGGTTTATGGCTTGGAGATTACTGAACGTGTAGTACATGAAGAGATTTCTACTTCTGGTGGGAATTCAGTCAAACTTGAGTGGTTGCGAAGTCAGTTTGCTGGTGTCACAGATTCAGACCCAGAGGAGGCTATACAGTATGCTGCTACAGCTTATTTCTTGTTTCTGTTAGGATATACGCTCTTCAGTGACAAGAGTGGCGGCAGGGTTCCTGTTGTTTACCTTGGCTTATTGATGGATTTGGGATCCATTTATACTTATGCCTGAGGTGCTACTGCATTAGCATTTTTATACAGATAGTTAAGGTATGCTAGCCGGTCCGGTGTTAAGCAGATGGGTGGTTATATGACTCTTTTGGAGGCATGGATTTATGAGAACTTCCAAGCATTCTGACCTCACCAGAACATGGGCTACAATGAAAACATGCCACACATGTACCATTGGGCATCTAAGAGAGAGGCGGGTTCCTCCATTGATCATTTGAAATCTATTCGAGCGGAACTTGACAGTTTGGTGGCGACTGATGTAAGTTTACTCGTCTTCAGATAATTTTAACACTTTCCATTTATCTTACCCTTTATATACTTTAATTCGAAAACACTCTACGTTTACAGGTTATTTGGGATCCATACCACAGTTGCAGAGACCGGCATCCATACAACTCGGTTACATTCTACCATGGATGCTTAAAGTGCTTAGACATGGTTGAACCCTATCATCTAGATAGAGTTCTGAGGCAGTTTGGCAGGGTTCAAACCATCCCAGATGCATCGCTAGCTCCCAGTCGTGGTGCTTGAGGCAACATATCTGCACGATATACAGTCATGTATAGATACTTGGATAGAATCTAGGAGGCTTGCGATAACCATGTGTTATCTGAGCAGCGGAGGAGCATACTAGTTCGTCAGCCTTGGGAATGTGTACCGGGTTACATGGATTGGTATAAGAATATCACTCATCTATATGTTGAGCACACTGATGAAATGCGTGTCCATGACCATCAGGATTTCAGCCAACATGCCGATGTAATATATTATCCTTTTTTATGCATTTGTAACTTATTTTTTATTTTCTGATATGTTCCCTAACATGTGATATTCTTTTCAAATGCAGTGTATTGTACATGCACTGCAGATTTCACATCCTATTATTGAGGCTGGTTATGAGGAGGGGATTCGGCATCCTCATCGACTTTATCAGGCTATCGAGACTATGATGCATGTCCTTGAAGGTCAGCACATTGACGAAACTGGACCTAGTTTTGCTGGACCTAGTTATACTGGAGGTCGCTTTTCATCTTTGACATTGACATACAGTCGTAGGCCTAGGAGTACGTATACAACTGATTCGTAACATATTATTTGTTAGTTGATGTAATTTTTGTGGTGTTTTTTGTAAGATGATATTGTTGTAATGGTAACAGTGGTTAATATTTTCTTATTAGAATGGAATGGCAACAATGGTTGATACCATTGAAAATGAAATTTTATTATTAGAATGGAATGGTAACAATGGTTGTCGATTTTATAAATGATATTTTCTTATTACAATGGAATGGTAACAATGGTCGATAACATTCAATCCATGCCACAGAACACATCAACATCAAAAACACATCCATTAATTTCTTCCATAATTCTAACATTTTCAAATACATACATGTGTCATGCGACATCAACAACATCAAATGTCTCTCGAGTAGCTACATTATCATGAATAATGTCCTTGAAATGTTGAATGCAACGCACATATCCATCACCCCAGTCGACAGCGCAAGAGTGACAGTATTTTCACCAATCAGTGGCTATAGGAGGAACTGGATGGTCTGGTTGCAACAAAACCTGCACCAAATATCAATTGAGTTAGTGGTCATACCTCATAACTTTTTGTACATGCATAAATTGATAAGCTTCTACTATACCTGGACGAAATGATTTCCGTTGACAAACCCAATGGCAATCTCACGTCTATCAAGTTGAGGTACTGGCACTGTTTTAAGAGGTAAATAGGCGAGACATTGCTGTAATGACAAGTGGTATAACACAATATTGTAGCACGATGCAACAAGATGCCCCATGTCTGGCATAATCATCCAATGTAAGTATCCAGTACTGTCTTCAAAGTATGACAATATGCTTGTCAATTCTTGAAACCTTTCGTAGGACCCATAAAGTGTAATGTATTCCTCTTTGTGTGTGTGCAGCTCACCCAACAGATCATGCCTAACCTGAGCCCAATCATCTTCTGCATGACCAATTGAAGCAGCTATATCAAATTCTCAATTTATAACCATGGCTCAGAACCTGGCCAAACAACTCATATGAGACAGTAACTCATATCAAGCACCTCCCATTACATAACAGATAAGCGTACTAGCTACATCCTTGACAAACTTAATGTATGGTTTCAACCCAGCAGGGAAAGCATCAACATATGCACCAGGTTTCACTGTTCTAGTAATGTATGCCTTCCCTTTCGGGTTCACCTTCTCCTTTCCCTTAACAGGTCGCTTCTTCTTGGTTTGCAGAGTAGAAGCTAATGTAGTGATTTGAGTGTCCCTAGGTGAGAAGGAATCATGTCCAGATTGCACTAACTCAAATGCACATGGGTCACGACGGGTAGAAACATTGATCTTCTTATGATCCCGAGGACGTGTTTTGGGCTTCACCTCCGGCTCAACAAGAAAAGTGCTTCCCGGATATACAATCTCTTTCAACTTCTTCAAAAGCTCTAATCGCATGGTTTTATCACTTTCATTAAACTTGTTCACAAACAACTCTACTTCTGCATGCCAAGTCACCTCTGTTTCCTCTTCTTTCTTGCATATGGAGATATGAAGTTGCCTCCACTGTGAGTGTATGGTAGCAAGTGGTATAGGACGATCTTGTCTGATATAGTCCGCAATCTCATGGGCGCAAGGTAAACCATGAGTGTGGCGAAGGACGCATCCACAAGCTTCAACATCAATACCAATGGAATTGGCGCTCTTACTCCCGACAAGCAAATACTCCAACGCAGAGATAGACACATTCCCCCGTAGCTCCCTGAATTGAGAAGGTTTAAATTGATGTTGCACAACAGTTAGACTTTTCTCAAATGAAGCCTTGATATCAGTGTGTTGCAACTCAAGCAGACTGTGTATTTTCTCAAATGATGCCTGAAATGAGACTTGACATGAACCCAATTGTCTTTTAAGTTTTGCATGTGCACTCTCAGCCCTGTTCAATTAAATGTAAGTCAAGTTAAAATCAAGTACACGGCAGTTATTAATAACATATTCAACAAAAGTAATGTTACCGGTTCGTTGTAACATTGCCACAATGCATACACGTGTCTGTCCATGCCGCCACAAATTTGTCCTTGTAAGGAACCAACCAAGTATCCATGACGTATTTGACTGCGTCAGGATAACTACTGAATTCCTTAAGTAATGATTTAAGACGCTCCTCGTATTGAATTTCAGAAGATGAATACACTACAGAGTTCCACTCATGGTTGAACTTCTCCCATTTTTGCTGTGTCTCAAACATATTCTTGCATTTGGTCAACACATTCTTACTGATATACCAACGACATAATAAATGTCTGGCACTCGGGAATATCTTCTGTATGGCATTCATCAAGGCTAGCTCTCTGTCAGTAACAATAATTGTTGGCACAACAAACCCATCCATGACATCACGTAATGTTGCTAACACCCACGCATAGTTATCGACCCTCTCATACTGTAAGTATGCAAAAGCTACAGAGAATGTCATTTCAGTTGATGTCACTCCCACAATTTCAAGAAGAGGAAGCCGATATCTGTTGGTTTTATATGTGCAATCCATAATTAATATACGTGGGAAAGACCGAAATAAGTCCAAACTGGTAGGATGTGCCCAAAACAAGTCTGTCACAGTCATCGTGGACTCTTCAAACTGATGGCGCTCAATGTAATTATACTTGGCCAATTCACCCAATAAGTGTTGCATCTGTGATCTTCCAGCTCTCTGTACCACCCTGTTTCGATGGCGTACATTGTAAATGGTTTTAAGTGTGCTTACATTGAGGGCATCTCGCTGTTTCAAGGTTACTAGGATTTCTTTTGGCCGAACCATGCTCTTTGACATATCCATTAACAATGCTTTCTCATCCTTTGATAGCCTCTCCGTATATGAATGTCCCTCGAGGTGCTCCGCAGTTGGATGATTATGCAATCCGCATACTACAGTCAATGTCCATTCATCATGTGTGGTAAACCTGTGAGCCCTCATATCAAAAGGACAACCACACTTCTTCATACCGGTTATTCTTGATGTATTGTTGCCATCATGTTTTAACTTCTTTGTCAAAGGCTCTTAGCCGAAACTCTGAAACCTCAGAATGAACACAACATGCACCATCACCGAGCGCTCAATCGATGACGTGTGAGTCTTAAGGTCGGTCAAAAATGGGGGG